CCATTTCTCGCTTCCAAGCCTCTTGTTCAAGACGCGCCCGATCCCTCTCTTCACGTACCATAGCAATCAGCTCTTCCCTGTCTCTCTATTAACCCCAGTTGTTGGAAGTCAGCACTGCTAATGACCTGCGGTACACGAGAATTCGCACCTTTGCCTTCTCCTGTTCCTGCCGCAGTTGAGCATGGGCCTTCTCCATCTCCATGCGGTATGTGGCAGAGAAGTCCGCCTCCTGCACCCTCACTCGCACACTAGACGTTGATGCTGGCTGTGGGGTTGGCGTATCATCTAGTCGTCGTTTGTACTTTGCTGCATTCGACGGCTGCTGCTCCACCGGCGGTCCAGATGTTGGTGTATTCGACGACGGCTGTCCGGGAGGCGGTACAGACTTCGATATATTCAACTGTGGCTGCACGGCCGGTGGTACGGACTTGGGTACATTCGACGGCTGGCCCGCAGGTCGTACAGACTTGGGTACATTCGAGGGTGGCTGCCCGGGAGGTGGTACGGACTTGGGTGCATTCGACGGCTGGCCAGCAGGAGGTACAGACTTTGGTGCATTCGACGGCGGCTGCCCAGAGTGCGGCTTTGGAGGAGGTTGAGGTGGTGTGCCGGCTTCGTCTACTTCCATATCTTCCAGCGGATGAACGCGGTATGAGGAGGACATTTGGTGTACGAAAATCCACTTAGCGCGCATGCGTGTATACGTTCAGGACCGCCACTCGTGCGGTCGCAAGTAGCATTGCTTTGTTCCAAGCCTAATGATCAGGGCCGATTCATGCCTTCATTGTGCTAAGTCATGAGTGGCGTCTTCCCCATTGTACGTAACACGAAGAGAACACGAAGAGTAGCACGTTGCCTCTGTAGGTGTTGTTGCCGAATTTGAACGGGTCGCAAGAAGCAACCTCTGCATGATCCGGCCTTGATCCAACAACAAAGAGGCGAAGGGCATAAAACGAAGCCGGCACACAGTATCAACCCATTCCCAGATCATCTGTAGACATGGTAAGCACTCGGAGCACGAACGCAGAGCGATAACATTGATATCCTGCACTCTCATTACAGCCACGCCAGACGAAGCACATCCGTTGCCAGCTATACGGAAGCGATCGTCGTTCAGAGACTCGAAGACTGCGCTTATTCCGAGGCATACCAGACGTGAGGGCCGCTCTGGGTGCACCCCAAAGACGCCAAATCCACACTATAGAGGTCCATGTCCTCAATCGCATGGACACGACTCGATTTCATGTGTATTACTACATTGGCCTGAGCGTCAATTTCCTTGTTGTGCGCCGAGAGGCTGGTCGATTCCAGAGCATGAGTGCCTTAGAGCGTCGCATGTGGAATAGGCTAAGTACAAGGTAAGGGGAATCACCCCCTCTACTGAGAGAAATCATCTGACGGTAGCTTGGACCAGCATTGAAACAATCCTGCAGCTGTGGGAGGTGATTCCTGGTAGCATGTCGCTATACGGAGACTTGAACTGCAGGAGATCAGAACGGCTTCGAGATCTATATCCGTACAATTACTAGGAATTATTGTATGTGGTAGAGACTGCATACGGGCGACTCTGGATTAACCAGAGTCAGAACCCATGTCCGAAGGTGTATCCTCCTGATAAACAGATAAGCGAAATCATGTCAAGACCTGAAAGAGAGGACATACTCGGGCTGCCTTGTTTCTAGAGGCCTGATACTTCAGGTGAGTTTTGATCATGTCGTGAATGGGCCAGCAACTTTCGTAGTCTCCGAGCCACGGGTACACATCCTTGACCTATGGAATATGTTAGAGTCAACAACCGCAGCACACAGCAGACAGACGAACTACACCTTTTCCTTCACGAGCTCGAGCTTCGCCTTGTCTTGCTTTGATATAGACTTGGATTGATCGAGGAACTCTCTGACCTTCCCATGTACAAGCTCCTATAGTGGAAAGATATTCATACTGCTGTACTGCAATTTAATCGCGGGACTCACCTTGACACTGTGGATCAAAGGGTCGGTCCAGCCGTGTTGCTTCAATATGTTCACAAGGTTATACCCGTCCCTGTTGAGACGGGCAACCTCTCCCGACGGCTTTGCAAGCTTGCCACCACCGTCGGCGGGTCGATCAGAGGTGCGGAATGTAACACGGCGACTCTGAGAGTATGGCGCTGCAGCACGCTGGGTGTGTCTAGTAGAACGCACTGGGCCACCTGACAGCGACACGTGAAAGATATCTTCCTCTGCAAGGAGACGAGGGCGCCGATCCAGATGATAGAACATGTCGGTTTGCGCGACAAGCAAAGGCACCACGGGGGGGGCTTCGCTAGGTTCAAACGTTGGGGGGACCAAGGACATCATAGTGTAGTTGGGAATCGCCTTATCCGAACATACCAGCGCCTTTTCTAAGGGCGCGGTGGCACAGACGGTGGCACTTAGTGATACCGAACGGCTCAGTGGCGGCTAGTGTGCCACTCCGAGGAGCCGCTGAGTTGGGCAAGCGCGTGGGCCATGCCACGCTGCGAACAATGCTTCACTGGATACAAGGAATCCTCATTGCGGAATGACCCGCGATGCGCTTCGAGCTATGTGGCGGTTTGATGTGCTTCCGGGAGATCCTAATTTCATCGGGAGGCCAGGGTAGACAATGCACCAGCGAGGGGAGACAATGTATCGGCACTGCCCCTGGTAGACAAGGTAAGGCCGGCTATGGATGTCTGGGGACGATGAAGCCAACAAAGGGCACAACGAAGAACTCGTGCATAAATACAGCAGTGTCTGCAAGCGTGCTGTACTGGACAGACATGTTCAAGGTATCATGGCTCTTTGACTTTTCGACGCCTGTCAGGCTCGTCGCTCCGCGGGTGGAACGCTCGCCAATCTTTGCTCTTGCGATCTCTCCCTCAGCAAAGTTCCTGGCTAGCGGAGGTACGTGCTAACCCCGTAAGCTGCTTTCCCTAACACGAGCGGGAGCTATTCAGGAGAGTACGGGGTACAGTTATGGAGCCTCAAAGACTACGCGCCGATAGCCACCCCGATTACATCAGGACTTAGGGGACCAACAAGCAGTATTGCTTGGTTGGAGAGGGAGATTGGTGAGACCTTGGTGTACGGTACGGCCCTAGGATGGTTGGGGTGTTGGAGACAAAACTCTACAGAGGTATGTCGAAAGCAAGAAGCACTTCTAGACCTAACAAGTGTCCTATACAGTTCAAGGAGCTGTGTGCGCATCGTACGGGTGAAGGATGTGAAATTGCGAGTCTCGCGACCGATGCCGGAACATGCCGGATAGCATCTGCTGCCAGAGACGGTTCAATCCAAGTCTGGACTTTCAATGCGGAGGAGAGCCTGATCTCTCTCTTCTCCGTTCGTCTGGACCGGACAACACCAATCTGTGTCGCATTTAAGGACAACACAACCAAGGATATCTTCGTCTTCGGTATCTATGATGGCGAACGGTAAGGCTCAGCTGATCCTGCACAGCCAAGCACCGAATGCTGATTCTCTGGAAGTTTTGTACTGCGAGGGAACGATGGCAAAATCCTTTCTAGGGAGACGACAAATATTATGATGTGAGTGCAACGAATATTGATAAAAATCATCATTACTCACCACATCCACAGGGGCCGTGTCGCGGTGAGCAGTAAAAGGAGGCAGTATGTGCTGGACAATGGCATGGATGGCTTTGACGTTCGCGACCTCGAGAACAATGCACACGTAGTCAGACTGCCCACTGATCGAGTCAAGGTATCGAGACCAAAGCAGGTTGCTTTTGCGAACGACGACACGCTCGTCGTTGGAGGAAGCGACCATGGAGTTATATACGTCTTCGATCGCACGACTGGTATTGTCCTGGACAAGTATACCCATTCCAAGGGTGGGCTCGTGCAGACGATCGCGGTAAGTGATTTGTATCTCTGGAGACCTATGTACCAACCAAGTCTACAGACCCACGACATCGGAGACGATATAATAATTGCCGGGGCAACGTCAGGAGAAGGCTCTGACCCTTACATCTCCCTCTGGAGGTATAAAGTGCCGAGGACCGCGAGAAGTGCCCTCCTGGGAAACGTAGTGGCCACGGCATACAGCCTGGCACGTTTCCTTCGAGTGTTACTTGTCGCTGTTGCGTATCTCTGGGACATTATAGGATTCATTGGGATTTTCTGCTCGCTGTTTCCGGTATGGCAGACCGTCTGATGTTTGTTCCTCTCACTCATTTGCCCACCAGAACTCCCAAGTCGCCAAATACATGGCAGATGTAGACAAATGGATGAACGGGCCAACTTGTGAATGCAGTCCATCGCTACCTCCTCCCCCAGAAAAGACCTGGATGAGCTTCATCGGCACTGCGTTGCTTAGTGTCATTGTAGCGGTGGGTGTCGTTGGCCCAGGGACGTGGCTGAACACGTTCGTCATTCGCCAAAGTCGGTACGTGATTGCAGGACTGCAAGTTGTGGCGATGGGCAGAGGCATGAATTGGCGCTGGATGAGGGATGTAAGACGGCGAATTGCATAGTGTACTGTCCACGTACCCTATTGCTGTCCATGTATCCTACTCCTGAATGATATCCTGATTGGAACGCGACTGGCGGTGTGACTTGTCATGCACTCTACACCGGTAGAAATCCTTAGGCCATCGAGCGAGGGAGGTGTCGAGCCGTGCACATAAGTAAGGGAGGAATACAGCAAATAGTCGCTCCTATAGTGACTGGGACCGTGCTGGTAGAGGTCCTGGAACTCCTTCGACAGTGCTGCAGCTAACACCGAGATGGCCGCTCGCAAAGTGCTCTAGAAGAAGTCGTAGAACTCCCAGGGCAGTGTTGCAGGGAGCACCAAGGAGGCCACTCGTGTAGTGTTTGGGTAGTCCAGGCATCGCTGTCCTTGAGCCTTGCCATAACTTGTGTTCATTTCTCCCGCTTATTAGAGGTCGTGAAACTCCCCGGACAGCGTCGCAGGGAGTAACAAGAGGCAATAGTAACAGCCGTAGAAGTACGCGTACTCCCTGGACAGTGTCGCAGGGAGCACCAGGAGGAGACGAGAGGTACGCAGCTCCCTGGACAACGTCGCAGGGAGTAACAAGAGGCAGTAGTAACAGCTGTAGAAGTACACGTACTCCCTGGACAGTGTCACAGGGAGTACCAGGAGGAGACGAGCGCTGTGCTCCCCGGACAATGTCGCAGGGAACATGAGGAAGAACGAAGCGCTGAGTCCGCAGTTGCACTGGCCCACTGTGGCTGTGCAGGCTTCGGTGAGCGTGCCCCGCCCGGAGGAGCGGCACGAGTGCTCCGACCGGATGAGCGGCTCGAGCGCGCTTCGATCAAACCAAGTCCCTTTGTTCCCTGCGACGTTGTCCAGGGAGCTGCGTACCTCTCGTCTCCTCCTGGTGCTCCCTGCGACACTGTCCAGGGAGTACGCGTACTTCTACAGCTGTTACTATTGCCTCTTGTTACTCCCTGCGACGCTGTCCGGGGAGTTTCGCCACCTCTGCTGCGAGCGGCCTCCTTGCGATTGGAGGAGTCAGATCTTGTTTTTTTCTTTCAGGCGTCAAATGGCCCCTTCAAGCAAGCAGTATCTTTGCCTCTGCCCTGTCTGTACTCGTATTACTCCATCAGGGACAAAGTTGTCTGTGGTGGAATTCAGGGCGCATCAGGTAGCCATTGCATCGCCTACACCCGTCCAACCGCGTCCCTGTGTTGCAAGGCGCCAAACAGAAATCTGCACATGCAATGAGTGCCTCCAGGTCTCGCCGAATGGCGTGTCTCGAACAATGGAAGAACATCGAATACACCGTATCTCTTCCATTGCGCCCTCAGCTGAAGCATCGTGCCCTGTCATTCCTCCTGTCCAACACTCGCTCCTTCCAGTTGCCTTAGATGCAGCTGCAGCACAAGCTGAGAGAGATGTTGTGAGCTCCACTCTTGTCATCACGACTGTAATGGACGACGAAGTCCCTGAAGGAGTCAGCTCTCCCGATCTATCCTTCGAGACCATCGCCGATGTTCTGGTCGATCGCATTACTGCACTCAGCCTTGGGCCTGATCACTCTATGGAGGGTCAGGAGCCGTCTGTACATCCACACCTTCTTCCAGACAAGCCAGCGATGGACGAGAGTCACTCTCAGGCTGCTCGTCCTCTCGTCACTGGACTTTCTCCATTTCTTAGCAAGGAAGATCGTATGGAGGTCGACGATACACCCGGGGCCAGCTCTGCACACGAACGCTCCCTGGCACCAACAGGGGGTAGCTCGAATATGATGGGTGGTGGAGACTTAGACGAAATGATTTCGACTCCCGAGATTGAAGCAATAGCCCAGGGTGCCCATTCTCTCCCCCGGGATGAGCGGCATGTTAACACAGAGAGGGCACTGAAGCAATTGGATGGTGTTAGCCAAACGATCGATCAGTGTCTACAAAAACTCCGCAATGAAGAAGTATCCGGTGCTATCATCAAAGAAATGCAGGAGACGCTGGCAACTCTTCGTAGTCGGGTTGATACTATCAAGCGACGAACCAGACGCATCGACAGCCGTAAAGTGGCAGTCTGCGAACAGCTGCGAACATTTGACGGATATCTGCTTCAACTTTCAACGCTGATACCAGCTGATGCTGGTCCCATCAAGTACAACTGTGGTACGTATTGGATAGTCTCGAGGAGCCAGTCTGACCCGCTATATCAATGACAGATGAACATTATGCCCGGCCAGTCGACCACCTCAACGTCATGGTTCAAGCGTCTTTCTTCTGTGCTGTAGTATGCACCGTTATCGTTGGGGTGAACCGTAGTGCTGGGGCGTTCATTATGTCCATGCTTTCCTTCATTATTTCCCTGGCGTTTTCCATACACGGTAGACAGCTGACGAGAGAACAGCAGTTGATTCTCTCGGAAATCCCTCGAACGATGCATACTGTGCTTTCTAAGTTCAAACTGGATGGGAGAGTTACAACGTATGCTGTATGTTCCAGTTGTCACGCGACTTATGAACCTCAGTACCATGCCGGATCATCTGACGCTATATATCCACGCTCCTGTACAAACAAGCCGCATCTGGGGTCAGAAGCGGAGTGTGGCTTCCCTCTCGTTGAAACCGACATCACTGGTGGTGAGCGGAAGATGAAGCCGATCAAGCCGTTCGTTATGCATAACTATGAAGACTACATGGCCGGGCTGTTGGCTAGAGAGGATATGGAAGCACTCCTAGACGGCGCCTGCGATGAAGGCTTGGCTTCGGCGGCAAATGCTCCTCCGGAATTCATCAGATCTCCCTTCCAAGCCAACTTTCTAAGGTCGTTTGAAGGACCGAAGTCGACCGCTGAGGAGAAGCAGCTCTTCATCGATCGCTGTGGCGAGGTTCGGGCATGCTTCTCACTGAATGTGGATGGATTCTCGACGGAAGGAATGACTCTTCGCGGCCCGACCAAGTCATCCACTATAATCTCCATGACATGTCTGAATCTCGGCGTGGAACGCATGAGCAAGATCGAAAACGTCTATCTTGTCGGTGTTATACCTGGACCAAAGGAACCATCCTTGACTGAACTTAACAACTATATACGCCCTCTCATCAACGTCTTCCTGCTGTCCTGGATGCGTGGCCATCATTTCTCCCGTTCTGCTTCCAGTTTGGCATTGGGTAGGATAGTCCGCAGTGTAATCGCTATCGTCGTCAACGACTTGCCTGGTGCTCGTCGCCTTGCCCAGGCGGCGAGTCACATGTCTCATCACATTTGCACCATATGTACGCTGTATGGGAAGGATAAGCTGGGAGATACGAACTACCACGCGTGGGCTAAGATTCCCAACCATCTCATGCGAGCGAGTGCCTTACAATGGCGAGATGCAACAAATGAAGAAACTCGGAAAGACATCTTCGATAATTACGGGGTGCGATGGTCAGAACTATGGCGACTGCCATATTGGAATATCACCCGACAACTGGCACCCGAGCCCATGCATGCGTTATTTTCAGGACTGGCGGAACATTTCGTATGCGATGCAGTGGGCCTCACTGCAGAGAAAGTCTCCCAAAAGCCTGAGAACACAACTGCATACGACTATGATTTCTCAGTGACTTCTCATGGAGGACTTTTGACAGAGGCAGAACAAGAAAGTGTCAGCCGGATTCATCGAGCCCTGCGTGAAGCTGTACCTCAAGAGAAACTAAGTGATGAACGTTCCATGGAGGAATGGCGCAGGGCCTTGAGACGGCGTCTGTCTCAGGTACATTTGAAAGCACTACGCCTTGTTTCTGAAGATGTTCGTTGCCATCTGCCCCCTCTGGGGACCACTGTCACTCGCGACCAGTATGCGTTTGCATTGACCGAATGGGTGCGTCATGGATAGATCGTGGTTCACTAACTTCCTGCTTAATAACACGATAGCGTCTTCAACAACCTTTGACCCGAGCGGACGCCATACACGTGGGCACTGCTGATGTACTTCAACACCTCCGCAATGTCATCCGCGACACTGAAGTCCCTTCCTGGGTCGATTATGTCCCTCGCAACTTTGGGGATGCTGCTGCCGGCACTCTCAAAGCCGCTCAGTGGCGCACTATAGCTTGGATCTACCTCCCGATCGCACTAATCACTTCATGGGGCGCCAGACCCGAGGAGGTGCCTGACGATGTCCGTCTCAAGTACAGTCAAGCGTTGGACTGCGCCATGCACCTCGTTTGTGCTCTTCGGCTGGCATGCTTGCGAACAATGACGACACTTCGTGCGAAAGCATACCTAGATCATATCTTGGCTTATATCGACAGCCTCCTGCTGGTATTTCCGCATGTCACCCCGTTTCCTCTCTTGCATGTATCGGTGCATGTTTATGATTTCCTGAATCTGTTTGGGCCGGTGTATTGGTGGTGGGCCTTCCCTTTTGAGCGGCTTGTGGGAATGCTGCAGCGGTTGCCACACAATCACAAACCTGGTGCGTCTTAAGTTTCCGAAGGATGTATTGCTTAATCAATACTACAATCAGGAGAAATCGAGTCCACTATGGTTCACTCCTTCCTGCGCGGAGCGAACTTAAGGCGTTGGCTTGCTCGGCCAGACTGTCCCCCTGCCATTAAGCATTGCAAGAAGTTTTTTGACCGGGCTTTTGGATCAAAGAGCGCAAAGCACGAGGACGGGACATTTGATGATACGCCTATACAATCCTATCCACCGGACCTGCAAGAACTGACACAGATGCGACGGGGGCCACTTCGTGCACACTGGAGGTTTGGTGGTATTGTGTACTCATCATCCGTCTCTCATTCAGGGAACAGTCTCGTGATGTACTATCCTCGGGGTGATATATCTAATTCGCCCGTCCCTGGCTCCATCCAGTATATCTATGGCTCGGAAGGTCGTCTCAGGCTAGCTGTACGGCGTCAGCTACCTTTGCTGGACAAGTCCCAAGACCTCTTCTTCAAATGGGCAGCGGACTACCCGGCATCTGTCTATTCATCATCTATGGACGACAAGCTTGAAGTGGTCGAGCTTCAGTGGGTATACTGTCAATTCGCCCGGTGGCCACTGTCAGCCGAGCATGTGGTAATTCTACAGTTGTCTCAAGTGCGTATCTCGTATATGCAGTGCCTCCACTCTTAATTTATTTCACTGTTAATCTATTTCATGCAGAACTGAACGCTTCGAGTGGCTACAGTCGATTCGCGGCTGCAGCGGCCTTTGCCGCTCAGCCGCTTTGAGCGGGCTACAGCGGCTTTTGCCGCTCACATGATGTGTGGCGGGACGCTCGCGGGACGCAGACGGGCCGCAAGCGGGCCGTCGGCGGGGCGATTACCTGCGGGTCTGCAGAGAATATGATATTTAGAGAGGCATTCCGAGTAAGATCAGAAGGCATAACAAAGTCTCAAATTTTTGAATCCCTTTGTGCTTGCAGCTGCTTATTGTATATTGTTTTCTATTCTGCTGGACGTGAAGATATGAAGTTTAGTGGCTGTTCAAAGTTCGGTCAGAATAATATACTCTGCTTATGTATTTTAGATATACCCAAATATCGAACACTATTTGCCATTTATAGTAACTCTATGTAGGAATATGTATTTTACATTGAGAGACAACTTCCCGGATATGATTATATTCCTTTTTCTGAATGTGCTTTACTAAGGCGTAGGAATATTAATAAGCGACATGGCGTTCAGCTACCGGTTTCGGTCGGCACCGAAGTTTCGGTTGGCCGTTGTGTCAGCGTTTTGCAGTCCTCCATATGCCGCCCAAAAATAACCACCAGCTATCAAGCGGACTCCTCCCAACGCCGGCGTCAGTGGAGGACAGCTGGCGGCATCTCCCCGCCGTCTTTCTCCCACTACCACCATGGCCGACCTCTACCCGGACAAGGAGAAGGCCGCCAGCAGCAGCGACGGCGGCGTCGCCGTCACAGAGGCGCACATCGAGGAGAGGGCTCCCCGAGACGGTCATCGTGCAGCGGTTTTGGTCGATTCGGTGGGTGGATGGCGAAGCTGTTTGACCCATG